ATGGTTTGGTGAATTCAAAATTCTCGGATGTACCCTTTGTTGCTTAGAGCGTTAAATCAGGTAGATGGAGCATGAATTCCCAGAGGGTTATTTCCATATGTAGAACACATATGGGTTTCAGCAAAGTTAGAAAAACTCAATCAGGAAGTAGGATCGAGCAAACAGTGCTAAAAATTGGTCAAAATTAGAAGGCATATTTCTGGCTCGGTATTGGAAGAACTTGGTGCCAGCAAACAGAGGCCGGCGCCACAATTTGGCTTTAGAGCCTGGCGCTGTCGCCTGGAGCTAAAGTCAAATAAGTGGCGCTAGACTTTGTTTCTTATCGCTAGTTCCTACATGCCTCACCAGCTTTTTATTCTCGATAAAATTTTTCAGTTTCGCGCAGCATTATTTCGGTCCTAGTTGTGAAAGATATTCTTCAAATTTTCTACGTGTAAAAATCCTCTATTTAACTCATTACTGATTGTCTTTCCAATGAGATCTTTTTTATGCATATGACAATAATATTAATAAAAATTACGCACATGAAATACTTAGAACTTTTCGAGTCTCATCCACTCATTCTAAATCATTGCCGAAATAAATTTCAGGACTTAAAATAGAAATCCTCCCCAGTGGAGTCGCTAAAAAACTGTAGGGAATATTTCAAGTGTTATCCCAAAATTGAACCCCCACTGTGATCATACACTAAAGTACGGTGGCGTCCAAAGGGAAAGAACATAGAGCAAAAGAGTCTCCAACAAGTTTTAGGAACTTGTAAACCATTCACGAGGTGAAGGTTACACCCCTTAACGATCTAGGAGATCGTCAACTCCAATAGGTCTAGAACCATGACTGGTAGTTCGGGGATGAAGGTACAAATCAAACCTAGAAGAGATTGAACCTGCCCTAATAATAAGCCTCTACTTTATTCTAATCATATTGATGTAAGCTTTCTGACTAACATGCAATCAATGGGTTTACCCTAAACCTTTTTATCAATGTTGGTTGAATATTAATGCACAACTAAATCTATTATTGGTGATAACTTGAATTATAATCATATTAACCCTAAACAAGATTATTAATTATCTTATTAAGCGTGATTACAAGTACCAATTCCCTTTAATCATGCATAAAAGGCGTGATCAAGCAATAACAATAAATATCAAGCAACATAATAATCATAATAATAATAATCATTATAAATATCAAAATCATGTTAAAGCATAATAATAGCAAGATCCTAAGCATGATACTAACAAGATTAATTACAAAACCTAGCCTGTCTCTTAACAATTAAGATAAAATATATATCCCTAACATGATACTAACATGAGATTAGGAAGAGAAAATAAAAGGCATCGTAGAAAACACAATAAGCATATTTGATATTATAACCTTTTTACTAAACATAATACTAGGAATCATTGTTGGCATCCAAAACTTCAAGCATCCTAACATGATACTAGGAATCATAATAACAACCTAGACATGATTTATATATCATAATATAAATAAATCAATTAAAGTACTTACTTGGATGGCACATATCTCTTTCTAATAACAAAATACACACGTTAGTAACTTCAAGGAAAATAATAAAACAAACAATATAATTAAATAATTGAAAGAGAGATTTGGGACCAAACCCTCAGAAATTTAATCCTTTCACGTCTTGGCCGAAGGCAACTTCGACCAATGCTAGGTTTCTAGGTCTTGTGAATGCGGAATTTTGTGTAAACTTTGGTTTATAAAAGAGAGAGAGAGAGAGAGAGGGCTTTATCTTCGAGAGAGAAGATAATTATAGAATTCTTGAGAATTGATGATTGTAGATGATTGAAAACAGAGTTTTTAGGAGGCTATTTATAGAAAAAATCAGTCGAAAAGATAGAAAAACAAATCAGAGTTTCGACGTGAAAAAACGAAGTTAGCGCCAGGCGCTGACCATTAGCGCCAGGCGCCAGGCGCTAATGACTGGCGTTAGGCGCTAATCAATTTTTTTACGTGTTTTCTAAATTCAGATAAAATTTAACCGTACAGAAGGTAAAATCTTATTTTCCTTAAAAACACTCTTTTATTCTGATTAAAACTCCAAATAGTCAATAAAAGTCAATTTATCAATGCTAATTGAATTAGGAATGAAAAGAACCTTCTAGAAGAATCTAGAAGACTAAAACCAATCCTAATTGCATTAGGAATGATAAATCCATATTAGGCTCTCCTCTAGATCATTGGGCCGCATATAAGGCTCAAACCGGGTCCAGTTTAGTAATTTGGCCATAACTTCATCATTATTCATCAGAATTGGGCTTATAATATATCGTTGGAAAGGTCTTTTCAAACCCCATCCAACTACACTATTATTGGACCCTTTCTATGAGACAACCAAACTGGATTGGCTGTTTTCTTAAAATAGGTTTTCAAAAACAGAGACAAGAGAAAAGAAATAAAAACTATCCGCAACACTAAACTTTCCACACTTTCACTTCATTCGATTATGATTCGACGTGAAAGGTACTCATAACCGTGTTTTTTTTGGGGAGACAAAAATGTGTGTCTACAATGAGGTTTCACTTTTCATTGTTTTTTTGAAGCAGTAAGCAATTGATAGTTTGATACTCTAGTGAATAGTGATAGTGTAATGTAAAAGCATTTCAATTATGTTAAGAAGCCTTTGAATAATTAGGGTAATATCCCAATGGTCCATATTAATATCCCTCCAATTTTTAATTTAAAAATATAGAATAAAAAGAAATACAATACGGTTTTCAAGAAGACCGTTCTGTATCATCTAAAATGAATAATTATTTGTTTTTTGTATTATTTAAGTAAAAAAAGTAGATAGTGGTTCACTATTCTAACCGTTCTATATTTAATAACTCATAAAACGCCTCTTACACAAATGCGTTCTATATTCTTCTGGAGAACGCCTATCTTTGATAACCATTTTATACTTTGTGATCTATAATCTAGTTTTTGTGGTAGTGCGGAAAGGACACGGAGCTTCCCCATGGAACAGCATTGGCACAGTGTCACAGGAAAGCACACCGTGGAGCGGCATTGAGCCCCGTGACGCGGTGCTTCTTTCCGTGACGCGGGAAACTCTGCGTCCATTTTTCGTATAAATACATTTTGGTCCTAATTTTGTTAAGCCTTTTTAAGTGCCGATTGATAATATCGGGCCATTTTTTATTTATTATTTATTAATTAGGCCAAAATAATAAAATAAATAAAATAAAAAGGTTTGGGCCAAAATAATAAATAAACTAAATAAAATAAAATAAAAAATGGGCCAAATTAAAAGTAAACTATTCTTTGACTAAATATCAAGACTGATCCATGGACTATTAAAAACTGAATTTAATTAAATACGATTTTTTAAGCACTCTCGGGATTAAATACTGAACCCGACCAATAATGGCGGTGTAAGATTGTTCATGATCGGGTTTGGTTCGGGGAGACATTTTAAGGTGCCTACAATAACATAAGGAAGAGAATGTGCAGAGTAGGCAGTAGTAGGACTAGCAGCTAGTGAGTGCTCCGTATAATGACAAACACAAGAATAAGTTTCCTTAGTAATGAGTTATCTTGTGCCAAACCTATTGTAAATGAGTCCCCTTTACATTTTCCCTCCATTAATTACTTCCCCCTAACAAATCCCCACCTAATCATTATCCCCCCAGCATCTGCCTTAAATCCAGGCAAGCCCTTACTGTTTTTAAAGCCTTTGAAATATTTGTTGGGTATTGAGGTTGCTCGTAGCTTTGCAAGCTTGTTTTAATGTCAAAGGAAATATACATTGGATATAATTTCAGAAGCCAGATTATTGGGTGCCTTACTAAGTGGTTTTCCGATGGAGTAAAATCACAAGCTCAACTTACCAAGTGGAGAGCTGCTTCTGGATCAAGAATCTTATAGAAGGCTAGTCGGTCGTTTGATGTACCTTGGGTAACACAACCCGACTTAGCCTATTCGATTCACATTATCTCTCAATTTATGCAGGAACCTCGCATTAAGCATTGGGAACGACCTTGAGAGTGGTGCACTATTCAAAGGGTACTCATGGACAGGGTATTCTTTTGAGCTATGATTGTGACTTAAATCTGTAGGGTTGGTGTGACTTAGATTGGGCTTCCTATCCTCTTACATAGAGGATTTTGTCTGGGTGGCTTGTGTTTCTTAGCAAGTCACTTATTGCATGAATAACTAAAAAGCAGCCCACAATGTCTACATCATCGGTGGAAGCCGAATACAGGTCTACGTCGACTATTACTTGTGAGCCTAAATGGTTAAAAGCTCTGCTGTTGAGTCTAGGTGTTCAACATCCGAAGGCAATTAAATTATGTTTGTGACAGTGAGTTAGCTCTGCACATAGCAAAGAATCAGGTTTTTCATGAAAGTACGAAGCACATTGAAGTTAATTGTCAATTTGTTTGAGATGTATTTACCGAAGGCTTGATATCTCCCTTTCATGTTCCAATCAACTCACAGCTCAAGGATATCTTCACCAAGGCTCTTGGCAAAACTTAGTTTGATTATCTTCTTTCCTAGTTGCGCGTTTCCAATCCTCACGCTCCAAAATCAAGTGGGGGGAGGGGTGGGTGGGAATGAGATAATATCATATAATATATTTTTGGGAATTATAATATCTTATGAAATATTTTCGTAAGATATTTATCTCTTAATATTATATTTTGTATTCTAGTTAGCTTCCTAATATTCTAGGATATCTTTTTAATCTAGGTAAAGGAAGATTGTAACTAGTATATATTTTGTGGTTCGATTATTGAGAAGCTAAGAAAAACAATTATATTTTTTCTTTAATTTGTCATGGTATCATGAGCAGGTTAAATCTTGGGATCGTTCATAAAGATTTTCCCCCTGTCGGTGGGTTAGAAAATTCAACCCTCTGGTGGGATAAACTTAGCCAAAAATATGTTATTTATATTTAAATAATAATTCTCTCTTTCTCTGTTGATTTAACCTAAACACTAACCGCCCTATTCTTCCAGGCCGAGAATTGTCTTGAGTTCATTCAACTTTTCCTCTTATTCAGAAACTCTCGAAACTTGTTCCAGCGAACTTCCACCATGTCCAACATACTTTCAGCATAATTCTGTAATGCAAGCTTTGCGTTGACAGCTTTTTTGTGCTGCTCGTCCTCTGCCTTGTAATTGTTGGCTTCCTCTACCATCCGATCAATCTCTTCTTTGGATAACCTACCACTGTGATTTGCAATACTGATTTGTTTTTTGTTGTCAGTGCCTATATGCTGCGCTGACACAGTAAGGATACCATCATTGTCGATTTCAAAGCAAACATCAAATTTTTCTTGACCTTGCGGTGCTGGAGGGATATCGTACAGAGTAAATGTACCTAAGAAGTTGTTGTCTTCAGCGATAGGTCTCTCACCCTCGTATACACTAAATGGAACGGTTGTCTCACCATCATAAGCAGTGAAAAGAATAGTTGACATTTTCACTGGAATGGTAGAATTTCTCGGGATCACAATATTCATTTCACCATAATAAAGCCTAACCCCAAGGGACAAAGGAGTAACATCTACTAGTGTGAAGTCTTTATTGTTACGTACACCGCTCAAGATTGCAGCTTGAATTGCAGCACCATATGCAACGGCCTCATCCGGGTTAATGCTTTGGCAAAGTTCCTTCCCTTTGAAAAAATCTTTCAACAATTCTTGAACTTTTGGAATTCTAGTTGACCCACCAACAAGAACAACATCATCAACATCACCCTTTTTCATATTGGCGTCTTCCAAACATCTCTTAACAGGATTTATACAATTTTTAAACAAATCCAGGTTCAACTTTTCAAACTTGGCACGGGAGATGGTTGAATAAAAATCAATACCCTCGTAGAGACAATCTACATCAATACTAGTCTCAGTAGCTGATGAAAGCATCCTTTTAGCCCTCTCACAAGCATATCTCAACCTCCCAATAGCCCTGCGCTCCTGACTGATGTCCTTGTTATGTTTCCTCTTAAATTCAGACACAAAGTAGTCAACCATTCTACTATCAAAATCCTGACCACCTAAATGAGTGTCTCCGTTAACAGCTTTCACTTCATAAGCCTGTTTACTAATTCTGACCAAAGATACATCAAATGTCCCACCGCCAAGATCAAAAACTAACACGTTCTTAGCCATGTCTTTCCTATCATTGCTCATATCGTTTAGACCATAGGCAATGGCAGCAGCAGTTGGCTCATTGATAATGTGCATGACATTGAGTCCAGCAATGGTACTGGCAGCTTTTGTTGCCTGACGCTGGGAATCATTGAAATAAGCCGGGACAGTGATAACAGCATTTTTCACTTCTGAGCCAAGGTAGGTCTCTGCAGTCTGTTTCATCTTCATTAGGACCATTGAAGAGATTTCCTCTGCAGAAAATTCCTTTTCTTCGCCCTTATAGGTGACTACAATAACAGGTTTGTCGTCTTCAGACGCAGAAATAACCTTAAAAGGCCAGAGTTTCATGTCATTCTGCACTATTTCATCAGTGAATCTTCTGCCAATAAGCCTCTTTGCATCTGTAGTTTATTCCAGTGGTTAAGAAAGCAATTATAAGAAATTGACAAATGTAATACAGCTATTGCATCAATTTGTTTCAAAATAAATTGCAAAACTTTGACTAAATGTGAGAGCTCTTGTTGCAATTTTATGAAACGGAGAAGTATAAACTCTTTTAAAATAAAATAAAAAACATAACTACATAAGTAGTTAAATGTGCTTTAGGAGACATATAAGAGTTAAAGAGTATATCTAACCCATTGTCTCTTTACGACGATTGTTTCATTTTTTTTATATATAAAATAATTACATTCTAATAACACTTTGCAATAATCATCAATCCGTTGTCTTCCTCTTACAATTTTTAAATACTTCAACTTTAATTCCCTACTTATCAATAACACTTATTCAAGTGATATCACTTTTGAATACAATATCAGATTTTTAGAATGCTATCTTCTCATATTGAGAAACGAAATTTGTTTCTCATGGAGAATATCACGTGAGAAACAAATTTTGTTTCACAATATGAGATATTAGACATCCCCGAGTGGAAGTGCTTGTTTACAATAAGTACTACATCCGTTAACTTTTAGTTGTAACAAAGGGTATTATTTATAAGACGTAACACAATGTATTTTTTATTGCAACTAAAAATTAACAAAAGTATTAAAAATGAACAACAATAATAAGTTTCAATTAATCGACGATAATTATTTGAAGTTTAAAGATTATTTCCCTTCAACTAAAATCAACTAGGAATAATTACTTTCTAAACCGGATGCTATCGACATATATTGGACACACATTATAAAGTCAATCTAGTAAAACATAATTACGGATTAATTAATAATTCTAGTGTACATTAAATATTTATTTGATAAAAATAATTTCATCTGGGTTTACGGTCAGTTTTAGCTAACATGGATGCTATTATATGGACACACGTTAGGATTTAGGAATATCATCTGTGACCAAACGTTGTTATACGAAGTATAATAAACGAAGCAAAATTATATTGTAACATGATATACATGAAGATTGAAGGATAGAGGTTAAGAGGTAGAAAACGAACCAAAAATAGTATTAATAGGATTAGAAGTAGCCTGATTTTTAGCAGCCTCGCCAACAAGACGCTGGGTTTGATTGAAAGCAACACAAGATGGTGTCGTTCTGTTTCCTTGATCATTGATAATGATTTCAACACGGCCGTGCTGCCATACTCCAACACAAGAGTATGTTGTCCCGAGATCGATTCCTATTGCCGGCAATTCTTTTTTACCTTCCATAGTTTTATTTGTTTAGACAGGATGGAAATTTGAGGGATTTAACGTCGGATAAGGGAAAGAAAGAACGGTTGGTTAGGGTATTTGTTTGAAGCAATTTATAACAGAGTAGTTTGACTTGCAAAATAAATTATGTGAAATTTACTTATAGGAAGGTCCGTAGGTGTAGAATACTTAGGATTTTTTTAATTTTATCTTTTTAGGAAGTGTACACTACTTAGGATTGGGTAGAAAAAAGCCTTGAGCACGCCTGATCTGATCTTTATAGAAATAGAATAATTGAAGACAGATAGAACGTAGCTACGAGAAGAGAAGGTATGCCGCTTGTTCCTTCTACTTTTTACCGAATTAAATTGTTGTTCGGTCGTGGTACTTTGTTATGTGTACCCAGAAAAAGGGGAAAACTCTGGTTCGAAGACGGTTTTCAAGCTTACTAAAATCTTATAGGAAAATTTGAGTTTATAAATCCCAACTTTGGGCGATTTACGATGAAAAATCTCAACTATGCATTATCCCTCAAAAATCCCAACTTTGATACATATTTTCTTTTAAAGATCCCAACAGGTCACCAAACCTATTACTTTAGGTTACAATCCACGTGTCAACACGGGATTGGTAAAATAATAATTCAAAAAATAAATACTAAAAAGAATTAATTCAAAAAAAAAAAACTAAATGAACCAAAAAAATCAAAACAGTAGCCCCTACCCCATCCCGGAAAACACCCTACCCACACCCCACCCTCGTCGGATTATCGCCCTCAACCCCGACAACCCCTCCCCATCCCCGGAATCCGACGACAAACCCTCTCCCACCCTCGAAAACCCACCCCTGTCCCTCCTCCCACCCTCGCGAAACCCACCCACTAACCCCCTAACCCAGAAAACACCCCTCCCTAACCCCACCTTCGAAAACGCCCCCTTCCCCTTCCCCAACCGTGGATCGATTTCTGGGGTGGGGAAGGGAGGGGGCGACTTCGAGGGTGGGGGTTTTGGGAGGGGGCTTTAAGGTTTAGGGTGGGAGGGTTTCACGAGGGTGGGGGGAGGGTTTTTCGTCAGATTCCGGCGACATGAAGGGATTATTGGGGGTGGGGGAAGGGTGGGCGCCGTTTTACGGCGGCGGGGAGAGGTTTTCGGGGATGGGAGGCGATTTCCGGCGGGGTGCTGGGGTGGGGGTGAGGGTGAGGTGTTTTCTGGGATTGGGGTGGGAGCTGGGGGTTGGGTTTTTTTTTAATTTTTTGAATAAATCAGATTTTTTTAAAAAATAACAATTATTAATTTTATTGTTTGGACCACTAAAATTTTGACAAGTGGCGATTTTATTTTAGAAAAAATGAGTTAACCTTCTCTTCAAGTAACCGGTCATCTGGTATCTATAAAATAAAATGAGTACCAAAGTTGAGATTTTTTAGGGATAATGCATAGTTGGGATTTTTCAAAGTAAACCACCCAAAGTTGGGATTTATAATCTCAATTTTCCAATCATTTAATGCAAGTAACCATTCATTCGTCAAATTCGTAAATATTTGCACCACAAAGAATCTAGCTATAGTCACATTTGTAAGTCGTTCATTTAAAATACTAATTGTAATTAAAAAAAAATATTTAAACCCTATGAGTTGTTTTTACAAACGAGTTTGGCAAATACTTTTAACAAAAAATAAATTAGAAAAAAAAAAACTTGCCTTAATTATAAAAAATATATATATTGCGATATAAACAATTAAACATTTTTTTATTAAAAATAATAATAATAAAGATTTATATAAATACATACATTTTATTTATTTTTTATTTTTTTGAAAGAAGTCCTAAAGGACATTAAATTTCATTAATTATAGTCATACGACATCTACAATTGATAAGTAACGATAATGAAAACGAATTTAACACAATCAAACAAGAATTAATCGGGGAAGGGCTAAGAATCCAAATACATAAATACAACAATTCGACACATTCTCGAGTTGTTGTCTCATACAACTTTTTGAGTAGATCCGTCATCGCTTCGCAATTTTGGGAGTAAGTAAATTCTTGTGCTGATTCCGACCCGTAATCCGAATCCGAGCCATAATCAATCGTAGCCCCGTAAAACCGCAGATCAAAATAAACACAAATAAAACCTTGTCTTTCGAAGGAGTCCGGAAAACCTTGTCATTCGAAGGAGATCAAGAAAACCTTGTCTTTCAAAAGAGATAAACCCTTTCTTTCGAGGGAGACATTATTGCAACAAAAAAAAAAACAAAAAGCTTAAAAAAAATAATAAAGATTAGGGCTTTCCACCGGTGAAATCCATTGGAAGCCCCTTCAAATTGACAATGGAGGCTAGAGTTTAGGAGAGAGTTCAGAGAGGAGGCTAGGGTTTTTTTTTTACATACATTTTATTTTAATTAAAATAATATTAATAATCTATACTTTGTTAAACCTCCATAATTCTCTCTTTAAACTTGTAAATACCTTTATCCCTATAAAAAAATCATGTAAAATCGAAGAGCATTAGAGCATCTCCAGTGGTTCAATTATAAGGACTTGCTTGCAATTTAAATAAAGTTCCTAACTACATGCTTATCACTGGAGAACAAAAAATTGAGCAACATGCAAGTAACTGTAGGCCAAACAAGCTACATGCTTGATAGAAAAAGAGAGAAATAAATTCTACTCATACTATACTATGTGTAAAATTATTTATTTAATTTTCATTGGAACAAGTTGTTGCTTAAAAGTATTGTAGCTTAGAAATTTATGTGGAAAAGCAAGCTACAATTTTTTATAGCTTGCCACCGGAGATTTTGATGTTCTTATCTTTAAAAAGCTTGCCACGGGAGATGCTCTTGTCTTTCCAAAAAAAAAAAAAAAAAAAAAAATCCAAGAGAATTACTAACGTGCTACCGTCACGTGTTCAAACATTAAGGCTAATTAAAAATCTAGTCAGTTATAAATAAGTTTCAAAAGAAATGAACAAAAACAAATTAAGTCTTACAACTTGAAACCATGACCGTTATTCAAGACCCATTAAAAGTGGTAAATAAATCAACCCAAGTTTAAATAAATTCAAATTTAAAAAATAAAATAAATTCTAAACGGTAACCAACACTGCTCTCCAATATTTTAGGTGAGCATTCGAATTCCATATAATTCCTGCGTGTAATTCCTGATTTCATTCATCATCAATATTATTCCATAGTGCAAGGGTGGGTTTTTTTCTCCCAGTTCTCAGGTTTTCCCATGGTAACATTATCTCACTTTTACTTGCTTTAATTTCTTCGTGGATGTTCTTAGTTGTTGTGCTTGCTTGTTCTTCATTGTTATGGGTCGATTGCAATTAGTTTGAGCTCTTAACCCTTACATAACTTAGTGCCTAAAATCAAGTTGTAAGCTTTGTCAAGTTGCTAATTGAATTTCTATCACTTTGTAATAAATGCTTAACTTGAATAAGTAATTTAATTTGATAACTTTCTTTTATTCGTGACTACTATAACATGATTAAAGTATGGGTTTTAATGTTCTTTTTATTCAACAATTTCTGCAAATAAGTTCTTTTTTATTCAAATCAAACACCAAATAATATTACTAATTTAACAAGCGATGACAATCACTTAACAAACTGAACAAAAGAAATAGAACATCAAATTATTGAGCGATCAACCATTTTATAATCAATCTACCATGAATCATACGAGCCTAACATCTGCGTTTTATATAGAAATAGAAAGGGAAAGTATAAATTTCCCATTCCGATCCCATACAAAAACGAAAAATAGTTATTAGAAATATCCAACAAATGTAACAAAAATAAAAATATACTTGGCGACTTTTATTACACCTTGTTTTTGCAATAGGTCTAAGATGCATCCTCGTGCACTTATTTTAGATGCAACATCAACCCACAAGCCCAATTTCAAACGTGCCCCATTAAAAAAGCCCCAAACCAAAATGAGCCCACCCAAAAACTGAACATATGTTTAAATTACAGCCCACTCAACCATCACTTTCAACGGCTATTATTTTTTTTTTTTAAAAAAAACGTCACTCTTAAATTTAAATTTCTGAAATTTATTATTCATTTATTTTGATTTTCTCCCTCTAACAATCAAACACAATTCACTCTCTCTTCAAAACAACCATGAATATTTGAGATGAGATGAAAAATCAAACAAGTTCTCCCTTAAAAATGCAATTTAATGTAAATTTTACTTAATTTTGTTTGAATTTATATGTTTATCACTTAATTTTAAATTTTACTTAATTTTGTTTGGATATTGTTTTTTTTTTTTTTTTTTTTTGAAACCTGTTTGGATATTGTTCGATACTCTATTGTTCGAAATATTCTTATGTTCATATTTTGAATACTTATGTTCACTTTTTGAAATACATATGTTCATATTTTTTATGCGTATGTTCACTTTCTTAGATGTTTATGTTCATATTTTGAATCCTTGTAATCTTTCTGAAATGCATATATTCACTTTCTAAATCCATATGTTCATATTTTTTATGTATATGTTCACTTTCTAAAATGCTTAATTATGTTCATACGCATTAAAAAATGAACCAATGCATATGTCACATTTAATACTTATGATGCATATGTTTCATTAATAATCATATTATTTTTTATTTCTTCAATTTTTATGTTCATAATTAAATGTCTTATATTCATAATAATATTTTATATGTTCATGATGTAAATATTCATAGTTAATATTTGTTGTTCATGAAATATTCTCATTAAATCTGTTTATGCATATGTTCTCTTTCTTAAATACACATGTTTATATTATTTACGCATATATTCACCTTTTAAATGCTTATATTCACTTAAAGGAAACAAATGCTTATGTTCATATTTTGAATTGTTATGTTTACTTTCTGAAATACAAATGTTCATATTTTTTATGCCTATATTCACTTTTTGAAAAGGTAATATTCACATTTAAGGGAACCAATGCATATGTTCATATTTTGCATGATTATGTTCATTGATAAAAAAAAAATGTAGAAAATCAGATGAAATTAATTAGCTCATAAGAAATCGAAATTTATACATAATACATCAAATTGATCGAACATAACCAAAAATCAGATGAAATTGAATAACTGATCAATCGAAACTAATCGAAGCTAACCTAAAATCATACAAAACAC